TGATTGTTGCCGGCGTGAAACGAGGTCCGACCAGCCGGTTAAATCGTCCCACGACCGAAGTACTAGCCGGGACCAATTTACTGCCTCTCTTCGCCCGGATTCGCCAAGTCACCTTCGATTAGTGAGCGCCGCTAGAGTGGGCGCCAACGGTCACTTTGTATAAGACACAATTAATGATTGTTTATTCGTGTTGTATAGATTACAACACCGAACTATCTAATGAAATCACTTATTATCACCGTGATTATAATCATCATTATTGCCCTTTTCAAATTCACTGCTAAAAATAGATCTTCGATTTATGCCACAAAGCACTGTCCTGAACCATCTGCATCCATCCACTTGCTGCATATCTTCTTATCAGTGGGTTCCCGCTAACTTCGCTAACCGATAGATTTAGAAATGATGATCAGAACCAGAGTGACCGACATAGCCCAACGGATTAGATGCTGAAGGGTTAACGGGCCGGTTCAAGTGACGGCCTCGTACCAGTAAGCATCTCATAACGAAAGGAAATTATAAAAAGCGATAAAATCTTAAATAATACATCACGCAAGATAGACATGGGAGAGCCATGAGGTTGTAGCACGTATGGTTCGGGATTGGGGAAGGACCACGCTCTCATAGCATACGAGCGTAAAATAGCAGCTTAATCCTATTGTGTTTTGTATGATGAGTGTAGAGAGTGGGAGATCCTTTTTATTGAAAACGAGGCATTTCATCTTTCTTCTCAGGGTGACAACGCATCGGCATTTTGATGCCCAACTGAGGATAGACGAAAATGTCTATGAACCATAGCATCCACATACGATCAGGTGAACGGTGTGCTCGCTTTTTACCCTTATTCTATAAAAAAAAGAAGAAAACCTCTTCCTACTTTTTCTCCCACGTCGATCGACCACACATTTTTTTTAAATTAGATACGAGTTACGACTCATACGTTACATAGTCCACCTGATGTTAAATAATAATGTAGTAAGGCAAGCACATTGCAATTTCCAGTATAAATAAAATTTTACTCATTTATTTTTTGCGATCTCGTCTCATAGCTTTCAACTTTTTATCTGAGATTTATTTAAACACGTTATACTTTTAATTACACCTAAAACGTATATATAATATTTAGCCCGAAAAATGTGTAGTTTAGCCCAAATTATACGTATGTATAAAAAACCACAGATAAAGCATGTTTTTTTTTTAGCTAAAAGCTTTAAATATATCTTATATTTTTAACTTGCTTTCTTCTTATCTCTTGCTGGTTCAACTGTTGTAATCAATTTTTTAAACACTTGCTACCATCCAATTAAGCTGAAATTTAGCATACTTATCACACTTTCATGGCAACGCAAGAAAACAATGGTAATAAAGAAAATAAAAATGTAAATAACAATATAAAAATATTTTTAATATTAAGTTATTTTCCTTTAATATAATACCATAAAGCTCATCTGCTGAACCTATGTGTGTAAATAGATTTTATATTTAAACTAGGTATCTGCTCCGGCTTCGCCTGGATCTATTAGCGTCTGATTTTTTTAAATGGTTATTCATGTGCTAATAGATCCAAATTTTTGTGTATATATATATATATATATATATATATATATATATATATCATTATCTATATATATATATATATATATATATATATTTCATATATATATGTACATAGGTTTAAAATGCTTAAAAGTGGAACTTAAAAATAATTGTAAGGACTTTTAAAAGGAGATAACAAAAAACGGAGGGATTACTAAATTACCATGACTGTGGTGTTTTGTTTACAACTAAGCAAACAATGAAATGACGTTTTTACCCCATCGTCGGTGGTCCCCTAAGTCCACAACAATGGCCACTACACTTTGGTAATATTCTTGAAAGTAAAATCAAATCAATTTTTTATCTTTTAGTGTTCCAAATTACACATCAATTTAATGGCACCTTTCTACCAAATTTCTTGTTAAATATATGTAATTAATTTGTTTTCATTCAGTTACGACAGATTTAACTTTTATTTACTAAAAAAAAAAATATTATGTTTAAAGTGTCACTGTTACGGAAGCTGAAATGAGATACAGGTACGCTATTGTTAATATTTTTTTATCATAGTTATAAATTTTGATATACAAAAAGGGAAATTTATATTTAATGGAAATAGCTTATGCTAAATTATGATCTATGGAGAAAATAGAAATTCAATTATTTCTTACAATAATAGAGTTACCAACAAACAGCAAAAAACAGTTAACAGTTCGTCTGACGGAAAAAGACTTATAGAACATCATGTATTAGATGCTGGTATCCAGATTAAAAAAATTATTAAAAATAAAGAATACAAAATGAAATTCTAAATGCTATTAACTTTTCTAATGTTCCCATTCCACATTACAAGAGTAGTTACTCCAACCAAGCCAACCAAAAAATGCTTGTGCTAGAAGTAGTTTATGATGTTATTCTTTTTTATTTATACAAATAAATAAAATTCAAGTGTCTGTTTGTAATATCAAAATCACAGCTTTTTACTAAATGCATATGAGAGTATATACGGTACATATAACAAAAACAGAATTTTTAAAATTACTGTCTGTCTGTCTGTTTGTTTGTTCAGGCTAATCTGCGAAATGGCTGGACTGATTTTGATGGGACATAGGTAGGGTTGTCAACTCCAAAAAAGGCATTTCCGGGATTACCCAGCTCGACATCCGGGACTTGGGTATATTACGCGGGACACAACACACCACATACAAATTGGTTAGAAAAATACACTATATATTTTTTTAATCATTTAATCAACAAAAAACAATACAAATGTTTGACAAACATTTTAAATTTTTAAATTTTATTTATTTTTGTTTTAAAACTGTAGTTATTTTACGATTTTGCGCATTTTAACAAGTTTCTGTTTTGCAATACGTAGTTATAAATTCACTGCATTTTTGATCAAAATTAATTTTAATTTGTAGTTCAGCCTTGACGTGGTCAACAGACAGCTTATTTCTGCTGTCTGTCCAGCTACAATCTGAAAGATATGTCGATAGCCAGGTGCATCTTTCATGCACGGAACGAGCGTGCGAGCGAGTGACCCACCACCGCGCAACACACTCACCCGCCCACGAACTGAACGAATACCGATGATCGCTACTCACGCAAAGTACGCAATGCGTAGGTATTAAGAAATTTTAATAGTGTAGTTGGTGGTGCAGTTGGTACGAGATGGATACTAATATCTTTAAAGAACTGATTTCCGGGACAAAAGGCGTTCCGCAAGGGGTTACAGCGGGACGGTCCGAAATTGACCCAGAAGCGGGACGTCCCGGAAAATCCGGGACAGTTGGCAAGCCTAGACATAGGCATAAGCAGATTAGCTGATTCATTGGCAGATAGCTGATGTTATAAGGAGTAACTTAGGCTACTTTAATTTTAGAAAAATAATAAGGGTTCCGCGGAAAATATTAAAAAACTAAATTACACGAGGGCGAAGTCGCGGGGAACAGCTAGTAAACCCATAAAAGTTCAATGCTGGACATGGGCCGCTTCCGTTGTTGGGAAAACTTACCTTAACTGTCACGTCTGATAGACGAGTTGACAATTGCAGTACCAGATGTCTTCCAATTTTGACCCTGCAGCCCATCGCCGACCTGGGTCTATTACATGTGACGTAAAAGAGACGGCTATAGCGTCATCTATCGGAAGTGTTGTCGGGAATCAACAATTTGCTTGATTACTATGAACTTTTAAAAACTTTGTCGCCTAGACTATCACGGCTTGCCTTGTGAAGCCCATTTTCAAATAAGTAATTACCTACAATAAATATTTTTCGTGTTCAACTGCATTTTGATGCTGTATACGTGGAACATTTAAAAAGGTTATCGAAACTAAAAAAAAAAGAAACTATTTCTATGGTTAAAATCTTTAATATTTATATTTTGAAAGAACCTATTATACATATTTTATATAATAACGGTGATAAACGACCACACTTTCCACCTGATGGAAAGTGAGTAAATCACCATCATAGACATCTAAACCAAATATCGAAACACTTTTTCTTGTCCTTCTTAGACACCTTTCCTACGGCCTCCTCGAATCATATTAGTGCATCTTCGGGCGATGATAACTGCGCCACTTTTAGGTGCTTTTTATTTACGAAATAAAAAAGGCAAAAATATAATATGAAAATATTTTATATAAAAACAAAACTTAAGAAATAAACTTAAACAATAAAAATACTACTAAAATTACTGCTGGGCTCTGGCTCTCTGAAATGAAAGGAAAAATTAATGACAGTTAATTGTAACTATCAAATAAAATTTAACCCAAACAATGTTGAGATAAGGTTACTTAAATATTTTAATTGGCATAAATATTTCATAAAGGTCTACACATGTTATTACATCAGAAATATTTTGACAAACGCTGAAGTTAAATGCACTTAGATAGCATTATTTTAATGTTGAATCTCATACCGTGACGGACTTTTAAAACGCCGCTCAAAAGTCAATAGCAAACGCCGCCGTCAAAAGCGCAGAGAGATGACGATCAAACTAAATTATTACTGAACAGCCGTTTACCCGCTCCACGGCTATTCAATTTCCCAGCTATGCATCTCTGTCGTCGCATCGTCTTTGACTGCGCTGCATGTTTTATATAATCCTTTCATCAAAACGCGGAAAGCGCTCTAGCAATTTTTCTCGCGCGTGAGCGAGAGCGACAAACGGGGTGTCAAACGGCGGTGGGGATAAGACGGCTAAGCTCCCGCAAAGTACACAGAATGCAAAAATGGCGAGGCGACGAGTGACAACGTTCTGACACGAGGGGGGGAGAGCCACAACGCGACTCAGTCCAACGCCGTCACTCGTGCGAGTCGCACGCATCTCAAGTAACGTGCCCGCGTCAAGTGACTAGTGGATTATGTGCTGACAACGGAGTATCGTGAAGTGTTAAAATTTTTGTGTGTGAAGAAAACATCAAAGCTGGAAAAGGATAACGTCTTGTGGAGCAATATGCTCACGTCTAGTAATCAGTATCTACGACCGGATTACCTGTCGCCGCTTCCAACCACGGTGCGTTGATGGCGAGCTTTATTTACTTGTTTTGACAGATCTATGCTGATGTTGACATCAAAGGAATTGTTATTTATGAACATTTTCTTTTTATTTACAATTATACGTTTCTTTCAAGTTTAGTTAAATCTTCAGGAACCGAAACCGCATTTAATAAATGAACTGCAGAAAATATATCTGGTCTACCAAGCGTCACAATTAAGGCGAATTCTTCCTGCATAGCGATCCAGTCCAGGAGTGGATAGGCTGATAATTTTTAGGGAATTTAAGGGAAGAAATGTTTATTTTGATTTTTGTAATTGCAATTTAAAACAGATTTTAGCCTGGTAAAATATAGCCACCACCAGCGCATCGTAAAAGACCAAAAGTTCATATTAATAAACAATAGTTCATATAGTTGCCATTATTTTCCAAAACTTAGCAAAAAGTGTGAGAATGTTACCAGTATAAAGGTATCATTTCTTTGCTCAGGAAATTACCTGTCCAGGATGGTAGCTATGAGCAAATTTGCAGCTAATTATTGCTAACTGGTAGCATTTTTGAAAAGGTATATCTAGTGATATGTTCAGCATAAACTTTAAAAAAAAGTCTGATAATGTGATCTGATCCAAAACTAAAGCGGAATAATTATCCGTGTGGAAGGAGTGTAAGACATTCTATCAGCCTATATCATCCCGTGGGTACCGTAAAAGAATGGACTTCTTAAAATACACTATTTGCCGACGGGCGGCAACGTCAAAGGTGCGAGACATCTGGTACTACGATTGGCAATCCACCTGCTAAACGTGACATTTAAGGAAATATTTCCTACAGCGGGGAGGCTCGCGTATAGCAGTGGACTTTTACGGGCTACGGAGAAGAATGTTACAATATCTTTAAACTTTGAAAAAATAATAAAAACGAAAGTAAATTAAACTCCTAAAATGTTGATCATACTTAAACTGACATTAAACATTTATCATGTTACGTTATTATGTGTGTTTTCAATTATAATGCAGGAAATATATCTCAATAAATATTTGTTACAAATAATTAACGCAACTAAGTATTTAAATTACTGTTTATGAATATATGAAATAAATAGAAATCCATTTCATTAATGTGGCTGCATTTTAAACATATTAATAATGACCACTTAGCTACTTAATTCCGTCTATTAAAGTAAAACATACAAATTACATAATTTATAACTTAAAAACGCTACAGGCTGTAGATGAAATACCTACTACATAAAACCCCTTATGAGATAGGTATATCGATTTAGATTAAGCTCTTTGCTACAAAATTTTCTTAGTCACAATACAAAATTCAATAAAACAAACATTGTAAAAAGGAAAGATTTTTAGTTATCATCATCTAATTTGATAAAGCCACGCTTCTACTATATTATGACAGCAGCAAAATGAGTTGGCTCGATCGGGGATGTACCACGCTCTCACAAAATACCGATCTACAATATTTTAATAGCAGGTTAAAGCTGCTGTGTTTCATATGCCTAGAAGCGAAAAACTTTTTTACTGGTAACGAGTCTCTCTAGACTGTATTTTTGTGTTAAGTTTGATAATAAACTTTTAAAATTATTATAGTAGGATCTTTAGTAAATCGTTCATCCTATATCCAAAAATATTGTTACGGATAAGGTAATTGGTAAAGAATAATTATAATCTAAGTAACTAACCACTAAATCGGTTGATCCGTTCCATTGAAATGTCTGACTAAAGTTTTTTAAGGACTAGTTATGCATTGCCTACAACTTATGTCATACATTTTATTTTAAATAATTTACTTATATTTTTGTTTCCAGTGTGGTAAAATTTAAATTACCTACGACAAAATAGACTTTTCTAAACTGAATAATTTTTATAGAAAGAACCTACTTTATCTTAGCTTAGCTTGCGATAAGTAACATTTCAGTAACACTAAAATACTGTGAATTCAATCTAAAATCAAAAACTTATAAGCATTAAATATTCCCCCAAATACTCGTTAAAGCACTAACGCCAGTCCCGTGACAATAGACTTGACAGCGCGCCACAAGTTCAGGCGCGCCGCAAATTCAGCGGCACAAATTGCCCTTTTCACTGTGAGATTACATCATGCGGGAGCCGAGTGAAATGTCAAGCGAAGCCGACGGCTGCCAGACGCGCGGATAATGGCGCGTCGGTCGCGTGATTGGACTCCCTCCACTTCCCTCGCCACCCCCGCGGTCCCTTTGTACGCCCGTCACTCGCAACCTCGACCTGACGTTTCATTTCATAAACCTCTCTTTGTTGCAGCTCGACGCGAAAAAGAGCCCGCTGGCGCTTTTAGCGCAGACCTGCAGCGCTATTGGTGCTGACACACCCAACCCGAAACTAATCTCCGCTGCCGAGAAAGCCAGCAAGAAATACGAAGATAAAACGACAGTACACATGGATAATAAACCAAGCTTTAAGCCTTATGAATCGTGCCTCACATCAAGAGAGAAAACTAGAACGCCGGAGGACAGATCCTCTGCGAATGCGCACTCAAAGACTCCTTTATCTTCTAAAGGAAGTGCTTCTACAACCCCAGTACAAGCGCGTTGTAACAGCAATCAGAGTTCATCATCACAAAGAACACCACCACCGGCGCATCGTAAAACACCTTCAGAGAAGTCTGACGAACGGTCTAGCCCTCTTCATTCGCCGGCTCCAGCGAAATCTAATTCTGAATCAACTAGTTCAGCATCAAAGTTACCCTATATACCAACGTCTTTAACGTCCAATGCTGATACCAAAGAACCCTCAAGTTTCAAGCCTAGTGTACCTGTTACTTCATCAGCTTTTCTAAGTGGATTGCCCCCATCCGGTTTCCCTTTACCAATGGATTTAATGACAAGTAGTTTGATGGCCGCACAACATCATGCCTTGAAGAACGGACTCAATCCTTACTTGGCTTACGCGAGAATGAAAGCTCCAGGAAGTGATATGGGAATCTGTAGAGACCCGTACTGTACTGGATGTTCTTTAAGTTCACATTTGCTTAAGTCTGCGGTATGTCCTGCTGGTTGCGCCCAATGTGATCACACCAAAACACCGTTTTCCTTACCTTCTGGTCATCCAGCGGCGGCTGCATATGCCCACGCTCAATTAGCAGCATTAGCTGCTGCATCACAGTTGCCTTTTGTGTGTAGCTGGATGGCTGGAGATTCTGCCTATTGCGGTAAACGATTTGCCACTTCTGATGAATTATTACAACACCTTAGATCACATACAGCTAGCGGTGAATCAAGTCCGAGCTTGTCGATGTTAAGTGCAACACATCCCTTATTACAAAGGACTTACCCGACACCGCCTCTTTCGCCACTTACGCCAAGATTCCATCCATACAGTAAGCCATCACACATGGTGTCGTCGCCTCCGCTACCGTTCCCTCTACCACCGCATCCATCACTGGCGGCGTATTTCCCTTCATATCCGCTGTTTGGACCACGGCCCCTGCACCCTTGAGGACCGTCGGCGCTCCACGCACACAAGAAGGGGGGCGCCGATCACTAACGCCCAATCTCAAAGGACATTTGGAACTGAAGGATGTGTAAATATAAGTTAGTGTTCTTCTAGTTTCTAGTCGGCTCATATCATCGACGGACGTGAAAGGCCCTAATGGGCACAACAGCTGTGATCTCTAACTTGTAATATTCATTATGTTTTAGTGCACTGAATACTGCAAGGGCTCGTTTCTAAGCTTGATCGTACCGCGAACGCGGAGCTTATTTTTCTAGTTAGACTAACAAAATTTTTATGTACCAAATCAATAGATGTAATTTAAATAGATTTTTTTAAGTTGTTGCGAATAGTTATTGAGGATTGTTAATTGTGTTTGTATTTTTAGTAATTGCTATATTTCAATATTACCTGACAACACTGACGATCACATATCTTTGCAATTTATAGTTAAGGATTAGTATGCGCTAAATTAATCGTTAAATTCAGTGTTACCGCATGTTCAATGTCCTGTTTTAATTATAAACCCACTATTATTTCTTAACTTATTAGATTTGTAACACATTTTAATTTAGCAATTTAAATTTTTATGCCCGCTAAAATGGCACTGTATTAATGTCAGCCAGAAAATACTAAAGAGATTAATCTATTGATGTTGAACACCTATAAATTGTAGCTGCGGACACAAGCGGAATTGTAACTGCGTGTACTAGATTCTTACATAATTACACTGTAATATCTTGCAACCGATATCTGTTGATAAAGATTTGTTGTTATAACGAACATAAAATTGAAAAAATATACGTAAATATTTAATTCAATACATTATTTTTCATTTCCACCATCACCATTACAGCAACGATGTTAGATACTTTTTGGGCATCGACAAAAAAACTAAATACACAATCCCATGCAAAAGTTCTCCAAAACTGTCGCCAATTGTTTTGACGTAATTCTAGTTGAAATAAATACACATTAATGTACATTCAACCTTAAATGTATTGCCTTAAGTTGTATTCACAAAGCTACGTACAAATTAAAAGCGCACCCAAATGTTCGAGTGGGCGCTCGTTCGGTAAGGACATTTTTTATCACTGATTGTGTATTTAGGTTTTTTATTAGTGATCGATGTTTTTAGGACAAAGATTTATTAAACTTTAAATACTTCTTGCTTGCTACATGTTAACATGAGCTTAATCTGAAATTAAGGGCTATAATTTTAAACTCATGATTACTAGAAGTTGTAGCAGAATTTAAAATTAAGATCATTAAAAGCCATTAAAATGACTTCACTATTAACTATACCAGTACTGTAATCAACGATTTCGTGTATAAAAGAAATCAACTTAAATTCTACAAAGCCCGTTCTACGAGACTTCACAAAATGATTTTACATCATGGACGTATCTGTTGATCCAGCGATAACTTTATATACTTTAGATACCCACGGCTTTACAGCGCGGATAATAATCGCAAATCATTTTTCTCCGCAACTCTATATGAGTCAACTCCGCAAGCGTCCGTAATTAGGACCGTTGCGGCTTCCACAACAATAAATTATAAGCAATTTATCTGTCGGTCTGTCGCCATACATCACGCTCTGCGGTGCATTTACCAGCGTTGAAATATTATGACCAATGTTCGGGCTAGACGCGCCATTTGTTGACGCCTTATAGTTGCAACCCTATCATCTTTCAAATTAATGTTATGATTGCCGTACCGACAGTGAGTTATTCATGAACTGTATCTATTACATCTAACAAAGGAATGTAATAAATCTCGTAATAACAATCTGGCAATGAGACAATACTTAATGTTCATGAAAACTAAGTCATCTATTAGGTTACTTAGCTCTTACTCCATTTCAATCTATCGAAAATATCTTCACGGTGATATTAATTTCACGATGGTACATATTAATATATTTCTAATTTCTAACAAGTGGGATGCGAGCAGTAAAGACCTCAGAAAGAACCTCTGAAGGAGGCGGAGTTATAGCCGAAATAATAATTATATTTTTTTTGGTTTTTGGCTATTTTGACCCCTTAGGAGAGTAATGAGAACTTTTTGCCCCTATTCAACCATGACCTCCATGACATCCTCTATATGAAAGGCTATTCAAACTGATTAGGCCTAAAGTTCGAGACACCCCACAACTCATTTCAGGTTTTTTACTTCCAATTATTACTAAATACTTCCAATTACTTCAGATTACTCCCTAATTGGGAGTAATATAAATATTAAAGAAATAGCCACAGATCTCCTCTGAGTGATTTTTTAAAATAGAAAAAGTCCACCGTGTTGACCTAATGAGTCTTCACAACTCTTCGAAATATTATTGTCTTTATGATTTCTTAAACTGTCAACAAGTAAAAAATTAAACTCCTTTAGGATGTTTTTCTTTACCACCGGCCAGTAGTATCAGCATATTATAATACTGAAATTTACAATTTATTGCTTACTCGCTTAGAATCAAATTTAAAGAAAGTGTTTATGACTTACCACATCTCACATAAACAACAATTGCATTGCATTGTATTCTCTCTACTTATCATTTAGTTTTATAAATGCTTTTAGTACTTAAGTGAACACAAAAGAGGTACAATATTTATGTCCAGAAATGCCTTTGAATTAATAATTGTTTCTTGGGCCAACAAAATACTTTTCCAGAATAAAACTGCTTGTCTTGGAAATAATTATTTATAGTATTTACGAGTATATGGACCGTTGTGGCTGCTGGTGCAGAAATAGGTAAGAAAGTGGTAGCTTCACAGACAAACTCCTCGGCAGAAAAATAGTTCCACCACTTATTCATCGGAATTCAAAAATTATATCTTATTAAATTTGTCACATATGCGCGGATTGATAATGACCAGCGTAAACATAAATATGGCGGACAAGAAATGTTAAAAACTTGATAACAATAAGAGTATATGCTTTGAATATAGTATTCCAAATGTGCAAATTTATATAAAACTAGCGAACTACCCCGGCTTTGAACGGGTGTTTTTCTACCGTCTTCAAAAAGGACGAGGTACTCAATTCGACTTTATATTTTTTGTTTTTTTTTTTTAATGTGTGTTAGCTCATAACTTTTTTCTGAGTAGACCGATTTCAATGATTTTTTTATTTGAAAGCTGATGCTTCTCATGTGATTCCATATAAATTTGACCAATAGTTTTAGAGTTATTCTTAATAATTTATATTGAAGTCGGTTGTACAAAATTTTAAATTTTAAATTATTGGATCTTCACAACAGCTCACCTACCGGGTCCAATTGTGAATCTAAACCATACAGAGACCCATTCAAACAGACAAAACATTTGATCGGAATCAGTCGAGCCAATTTCGAGATTTAGAGGCTAACGGACACCAATTGATTTTTATAAATAAAGATATTTTTAAATTGTATGAGTTACAACATTGCAGTCGGGTTCTTTGTTGTTTTTTTTTTATTATGATTTCTTTTTTTTAATAATTCAGTTCATGCTGTTAAATCGTTTTTAATTATAGCATGGCGAATCGGACAAATAAATATATTCCGTTATATCGTTGGCATAAACGTTGGCAGCGCAAATACAGGCTTGTCATATTTTGCATTCGATTACTTGAAGATTACAATTAAAAAAATATAAAATTTAATTGGATCCAATATCACTGGAGCGTACCTTGCACTTCTTATTTGCATTCTGCTCGCCGCGAGGAATGAATTCATGATACTATCTGCGGAATATTAAATTAATAAGATGTTGAAATTCACAGCCTGCACTCTCCATTCGTGAAAGTTAATTACCGTCGAGTTATTTATTAACGTTATTAACATATTAATATTGTTAATGTTAAAACACTTGGGAAATTCAGCTAGAACTTTATACTCGTGTTCGTTTATTCCATTTAGTGTAGTGCCATTCTAATGGCCACTTCGTAAACTATGTTGGACGTTCATTCCAATCACGTAATCATTTAACGCGTTTATAACTTCATGCTTTCATAATTAAATTGCTTGCATAGCTTCGACAGGTGTTTACTGGAGGATTGGCAAATGAAGTATGGCGTTGAAAACTTGCAAATCATATTGAAAAATGAATTTCGTATTAAATATGTGTGTAAATTTTAAATTAATGCCGTTTAAATCGGTTTAATTTGAATGTTATAATGAATTCACACCCAATCTCAAATGATAATTATATACAGCATATGCATACATATTAATACGTCTCAATTTAAAAAAACTTGCAGCCTTACTTATAATTGTTGATTATCATAATAATCATCATCATCATCATAACTACCCTTCACAAAAGCTACTTCTGAACATAGGCATTTAACGTCCCGTCGTAAGAGGTGACAGATGGAAACAAATCACATAATCGGCAACAACGTCTTCCTGATAACAGCCCGAAAATAAAAACTGCGGCTGCCAACCCACCTTACCAAGCGAGGCAACTATGCCAAGTAACTCCCTTGTGAGGCAAAACTAGATAGACATACAAATACTTGTTTCATGTGGGATTCGAACTTGCAGCCCTCAGCGCAGCAACTCAATGCTAAGCCACTGCGCCAAGGTGCCGTCAAGTGATGATGGCTTATTTGAAAGGTGAAGATCCTCATTTCAAAACGGTTCTAGTAGGTTCGAAATGATGATATTTGAAACAAACATTTTCATTTTCATTATTATCCTATAAAAAACCCCTCATGGACCGCTCCCATTTTAGAAAGACCTTTGCATAACCGTCACGCCGTGACTTGACACCGCTATCCATCACCAGTAATTATAATGTCGGCCAGACCGAATTTCGGTCACGGTGGCCAGTCTCAACGGAGACTAGGCATCTGCGCAGGACAGGAATATAGTGCCCGAGTATATGCGCAAGCACAGGTGCACTCTCTATTCCCTCACTCTCAAAGTCGTGCTTTCCGAGGCACGGGGGTAAGACACCACCAACATCCTGACCGCAGACAGCTACTGCGAATTTTTTGATGGAAAAACCCAATAACTGATGTTA